AAGAGTATTGTCTTTTTTTACCTCCTTGAGTGGTGCTTCTGTATCTTTGCTTTGGTTACTTCTCTGCTAAATCGATACCATGTATGCTTTCGTTTTAACAGAGGCGCAGCTTTTTTGTATTTTTTTTTTTTTTTCATTTTTCGGCGAAGCCTTTGATTCAGTACCACTTTCATCAAGAAAGACAGGTAGTAATTAAAAATATTTATACAACTAAAATCGCAGAACATTCTCGCTCAAGATTTCCTTCTCCTAATGAATCATGTAATAGCCCTGAAAAAGACCATTATTTTTAAATTACTTATTTTACATAAGTTTATATGCATCTTTTTTTGTATGTCGTGTAAAACATTTTGAGAAACGTATTTTTTAAGTGAAACTTCTTATGTTAGGCCGTGAACAGCCATGTGAGCGGAAATGCCACCTGCTCTCTTACTCTTACGCTGCTACTATAATAATATGTGCATACATACATTATAGATTTGTTCGTGTGTATATTTCTATGCTACGACATAAACATGAAACCTATGCGCTTGCTCAAGCTAAATTATAGGTATGGAGAAAAGAGAGTACGTATGTATATTCTACACATATACGTATTGCATATCCCGGTCGTAACATACGTGTTCATATGTATACATGTATGTAAAAAAAAACAAAAAAAGGAAAAAAAATGTTCTTTTATAAGCCGTATTTAAAAACTTAATATGTAATATGGACAATTACAAAATCTATTTTCTATCATACATTATAAGAATAATTGTCAAGGTACCAAAACGTATATTTTTATTATTAATTTTGAGATAAGTAGAAATTAGTTATAAGTATGGGTGAATTTTAGTATTAAATTATAAACAATTATAGAAAACGAATTGAATGCAAAATTTCAACTTTACGATGGAAAATAGCTATGTGTCTATTGTTTTTCTGGATCTCAATCAGATAGAATGGATTATTTTACTTTTATTGTAGCTAAATTTTAAAAAAATTTGTCGGATACAATGATTCCAACAAGAATTGATTGTACATATATCATATCATCACATACATATTTATATATCATATCATATCAAATGCACAAATAGTAATTTTATGTAAAAAAAATTTTTGTCTCGCATAACTGGACAGAAGTACCTTTTTTCAAAGCACTATGGTGAAAATTTTTTTTTCGTTCTGTATTACATGTTTATACATCTACATTAATACATATATCATAGCAAACATAGAAGTACTTAGAATGCACAAATAACATCCAACATAAGTATATTGACGGCTTGGTAAAAGACAGAGCTAACGCAGATAATTGATGCAAAAGGAGCCAACTCGAAATTTAAATTGAAAAAGCAGTCAACTCAGATATGGCTTGAAAAAGGAGCCAACTCGAAAGTAGTTTTTTTTTCATCAAGTTTTTTCGAGGTAGCACTGACATTCACAAAATGTGTATACCTAAATAAATGAACAAAGATTTTGTAATTATCCAATGTTTCAGAAAAATAAATTAAATTGTTATAATAAAGCATACTGTACTTATTAAATTATGTGCTTCTCAAGTCTACTGTGATCAGATGCAACTCTATGATAAGACTGTGGATGTAATTCATTTTCAATATTATTTAAAAAATTTTTAAGTAACTTTTTTTGTTTTGAAACGTCGTCTTAAAAAAACAACTTACTGCAACTACAAATGATACTTAATTCTTAGCTCAAGTTTAAATGGTTATTGTATTTTCTATACACAACATTTTCTATTATAATATCTTATCTCTCCTATGATCACAGCAGAATAGTAAGGCACAAAATTGAATAAGTATAGTACGATCTGTTACAATGACCTAAATTATTTTTCTGAAACGTAAGATTATTAAAAGATCTTTGTTCGTTTACANTCATTTGCTCATCGTTCATCCATCGATCCCTTGCTCGTCCTCACCGTCATCACAACCTTTTCTCCTCTTGTTCGTGCTACTCTTCTGTTCTCTATCTAACCATTCTCTACCCGAAATCACCTTCGTGCCACAAGAACTACACACCAGGTGGCGTTTATTTGTAGAGCAACTAGATCGATTAGAAAAAGTATCATATATATATATATATATACATATATATTTCTGAATGTTTGTGCTACCACGACAAAACTTGATAAAAAAAATTACTCCCGAGTTAGCTGCTTCTTCAACCCGAACCTGAGTTGGTTCCTTTTTGAAGCCAAATCTGAGTTGACTGCTTTTTCAACCCAAATTTCGAGTTGGCTTCTTTTTTACCAATTATCTGAGTTAGCTCTGTCTTTTACCAAGACATTGATATATATTTTATGCACGTGCGTGCTAAAATATGTAATAATAATAAAATTCTGACCATTTTAATATCAGATTTTTAAAGACCTATTGAAATTAGGTGTAATCTAATCTACTGAGTTTCGTATTTATCTTATTAGTTAGTTGTTTAAATGTTTACCGTTAAAAGATAAATTTTTTAACCAAAAGAAACGGTCGTACTTCAGACGAGTGCGCATTTCCCTCTTCTCTACTTCATCATTACACCGTAAGCTGATTAAGTCATCACAATGGAAAAAAGCATCCGTAGACTTACTACTCAGTCGTGTATTTGTAACCGAATGGGTAACTTGCATCTGCAGTTACAAATCTCATTTTTCTGTAAACTGGTCTGCAAGTTTTTGTTTCAGATTGCGTTATTATATCATGAAAATCTGTTGGCCGTATAACATAATTTAGCAAGGTGATTTCTGATGCATCCGATCTGATCAATTCGTGAACTGTATCAAAATATATTTTTAGACTGAAGATATAGTTTAATCTAATACTTTTTACTTTGCAAACGTACTCTTAATCGCAGTAAGGCTTTTTATATTTACTCACGTAAAACTTTGGCCCACCAGATATAAACAATGTTATGTATGTACTGATACCGTTATCAGACTATTCATCCGTAAGACAGCCAAGTGTTGTACCAAGGCGTGAATCGAGTTCTTCTTTTCAACTCACGTGAAAAACAGAATTCGTGTCATTATATAGTACACGCGATCCCAACACGTGTAAGTAGCTAAACAATTTTAACTGAGCTTAAGCCATAACAGAAGCAGCTACAACTACATTAGTTAACGTGATTGATAGCTCCAATCCACGTACAACGTATTATCGTTTACAGCCAGAATACCGTTAACATCTATTTCTGTACTGGTAAGTAAATCTATCAATCTTTTAGTGGGTGTTACGACTTATGTTTTTTAAACCCTCGTGTTGGCTGAATTTACCTCACAAATAACTTAGACACAATGTAACAACAGATCTTGATCCAGGATTAAAATTTATTTCACTTTTATCGAGGTCTAATCTTTCAGCCTCTTGTATTTCATGAATTTACGTATTCTTGCCTTTATTTCTGAGACACTCAGGGGTAAACACGAGGACTGTATTTTTTTCTTAAAAAACTCGTCAATATGATTCGCAAATCAACCTCCTTCTTTAGTTTCTTGATTGAATTGTGTCATTCTACACTGCCATTTCTCATAAGCATTTTTTACTACATAACCTACTTGAACAGCCATCTGGACTTCGTCAGATATCCATGTACTTTTCAAAATACGGTCATTCGCATATTCGTGCAGACAATCTTCTTGAATCATATAACAGCTACATGTACGACACAGTGGAAAAATTAACTTGTTATATATTTTTACTGGTAACACAGGATGGTATAAGTTTTGCGTTGGTAGCACATCACACATGATTGAAAAATTCACAAAGCATAAGTCATTGTTTTCTGTAATAATGCTTCAAAACTTTATTTATCAGCTATTAGTTGCATACCACTATTTTTTCACTGATGGCACAGGTTCTCTCGTATATTTCAACCATTTTATCGACAGTTGTTGAAGAAAAACATCTGTTTATTCTAAGACATCGTGAAAAACCAGACCAAAAATAACGGTAAAACTGTAATACAATACCAAATTGATTATCCACACTGTTCCGTCGAGAGACGGAATTGAGCGAATTCCGTTTTCGGTCCAAATTCCAGAATCGTACGCACCTCATTTACCCCTTGAGCCTTGCGCCCGCCCGCCTCCGTCGCTGACTGGCTCATGTCCCGTCAGCTCGGTGGTGGGAGGGGCGGGACTTCGGGACTTGGCAGTTATTTTTTAGCTTGCACACTCTCTCTTGCTTGGCCTGCCGAATTGGAAGCATCTTCACGCTTAGTGTTTTTTTTATCACTTGCAGTCTGCACCGTCAGCAGAAGATTTCGCCAGTCCAGAATTAGGGGATTCTCGTTCTAAAGCCTTCCGGTTACTGCAAGCTATAAGACATCGATTTAAGGGGAATCTTAACCTCGAAGTAGAATATACAAAGGTTATGCAGGAATATGTAGACTCAAATCACATGACAGTGATAGAGGATAAGGGTGCCGGGAGATATTGTATGCCCCATCACGCCGTTGTCAAACCATCTAGTACCACAACGAAGACCCGAGTAGTTTTCAATGCATCTTCCAAGACCGACAAAAATCTTTCGCTGAATGTCATGCTCATGGTGGGGCCTACAATTCAACCAAAACTCTTCAACCACCTCCTCAGGTTTCGCACTCATACTTACGTCGTTACTGCAGACATAGAAAAGATGTATAGACAGATTTTAGTAGATCCCCGGGACCGGCCCTACCAACGTATTCTATGGGTACATCAGGGTAGAATTAGGACTTACGAACTGAACACGGTTACCTTTGGAGTATCATCCGCTCCCTTTCTAGCTATTAGGACGATTCATCAGTTAGCAGAGGATGAAAGGGCAAATTTCTCTAGGGCTAGTGTTATCTTGAGGCGGGATTTTGATGTAGATGATCTACTTACTGGGGCAAACTCTTTACAGGAGGTTTTACAGATTCGGGAAGAGTTAATTTAATTGTTAGCTAGCGGGGGGTTTCTGATTAAAAAATGGGCTTCAAATCACGCTCATGCACTTGACGATTCAGAGGGGAGGGTCTTTAAAATGGATAGCTTAACAGAGGGGGATCCGATAGTTAAAACCTTAGGTATATCTTGGGACTCCCAATTAGATTGTTTTGCATATGTAGTTAAACGAATAGAAACGCCCCAAACAGTCACGAAACGAGTCATTCTATCCGAAATCGCAAAGATTTTCGATCCCCTAGGGCTTTTAGGGCCAGTCGTATTCGCAGCTAAGGTCATCATGCAGGATTGTTGGAAGGCAAAGGTAGGGTGGGATGAATCAGTGCCACAAGAACTACACACCAGGTGGCGTTTATTTGTAGAGCAACTAGATCGATTAGAAAAAGTATCGTTTCCTAGACATCTTATTTTACCCGGCGCATTAGCGATTGAGGTGCACGGATTTTGCGACGGAAGCAAGCAAGGATATGGGGCTTGCATATACTTAAGATCAGTTGATAAAACCAACCAGGTCCTGGTTCGCTTAGCGTGCGCCAAGTCTCGGGTAGCTCCAGTCAAGCAAACCACCATTCCCCGGCTTGAATTGTGTGGCGCTCTAAGGCTAGTGAGATTGTTTAGGGAGTTTCGAGAATCATTTGAAGTTTCGTTTCACAAGGTCGTGTTTTGGTCCGATTCAGAAATTGTTTTGCAGTGGATTAAAAAGCCTCCACAAGCCCTTAAGGTTTTTGAAGGGAATCGTGTCGCAGAAATCCAAGAGTTGTCGAGTATCGTTGAATGGCGTCATGTCTCCAGCAAAAACAATTTCGCTGATGTTCTTTCTAGGGGTCAAGTTCCAGCCGAGTTCATTCAGAATGATACATGGAGTTCAGGGATGAAATGGCTGTACCAATCAGAGGAAAATTGGCCCAAATCTGCGAGAGACCCCAACGTCGAACTTCCAAGATTAAGGACTCCAACCTGTCTTGCACTCACTGCTAATGAAGTTCTGCCTTCAAAGGTCCCTAGGCCCAACCCCTTGTCACAGGACCCATTAGGTTACAGGCGCTTTTCATCCTATCAGTCGCTACTTAATTCACTTGCGTATTGTTTGCGTTGGCGTTTTTCAGCTGATTGGAACCATGATTCACTCAGGGTGGCCGAGAGATCCAGAGCAGAATGGAGATTATTGAAATCGATCCAATCTGAGCAGTTTGGAAGGGAAATTAGGCAGATCAAGAAAACTGGTTCTACAAAAAATACGAAATTAGCAGCGTTCAACCCCTTTATCGGTCCCAACGGTTTACTTCGTGTAGGTGGCCGGCTTCGCAACGCGCAGATTTCTGATGAACAAAAATATCCAATATTGCTACCCTCTTATCACCATATAACGGATCTCATTATTCGCCAAACTCACCAGTCGTTATTGCATGCAGGAATCCAGAGCACGTTGTATAGAATTCGTCAGAAATTTTGGCTGTTAGATGGAAAAAATCAAGTTAGGAGAATTGTGCGGCATTGCGTCACATGCGTAAAACATCGTCCAGTAGCCTTTCAGGGAAAGATGAGCGATTTACCCCAGGCGCGCGTGCAACAAGCTTCGGTCTTCGAACACGTAGGAATAGATAATTTTGGCCCTATCAACATCAAGGAAAAACAGTTTAGGAATCGTGTTATTCTTCAAGCTTATGGTTGCGTTTTTATTTGCATGAACACAAAGGCAGTCCACATCAGATAGCGAGCGACCAGACTACCGAAGGATTTCTAGGTGCGTTCAAAAGATTCGTAAGCCGCCGGGGAATTCCATCTCACGTATATTTGGATAACGGGACAAACTTTGTAGGTGCAAATAATCAGTTAAGTAAGATTTACGCCTTGATTCAGTCAGAACCCTTTCACGATGCACTTAGCGGATACACCCAACAGCGTAACATTGTCTGGCATTTTAACCCACCTCTTTCTCCTAACTTTGGGGGTCATTGGGAAGCAGCCGTCACATCCTTTAAACACCATCTTAAACGAGTTAAAGGACAGCAGTTACTAACCTTCGAACAACCTAATACTTTATGCGTGGAAGTAGAGTCGATTTTAAATTCTCGCCCCATTAGTTGTATGTCAGCAGATCCAAACGATCCTGCCGCACTGACTCCTGCGCATTTTCTTATTGGCCGACCACTAACTATGTTGCCTGATCATGACATGACTTCTATTCCAGATAATCGTCTTCCAGTATGGAAATTCATCGTCAAGGCGCGGCAGGACTTTTGGAAACGTTGGCACACAGAGTACCTCAGCGAATTGCAAAAACGACAGAAATGTCTTGGGAGCAAGGGAGAAGTCAAGGTGGGTGCAGTCGTAGTAATCAGCGATAAGAATAGAGATTATAACCAATGGCTGTTGGGAGTAGTCATGGAGGTTTATCCTGGGAGCGATGGCGTCGTCCGAGTGGTGTCTGTGAAAACCAAGACAGGAATCTACAAGAGGAATATCACTCAGTTATGCCCGCTGTTAGACTGTAGTCAAATTTAATTGTATTTGGACTCAATATGTAGCGCCTCTAACATGTTACACAGACACAACCACACTTCAAATCATTTTGCTCGCATACTCTCGCAACGGGGGGAGCCTGTTCCGTCGAGAGACGGAATTGAGCGAATTCCGTTTTTGGTCCGAATTCTAGAATCGCACGCACCTCATTTTCCCCTGGAGCCTTGCGCGCGCCCGCCTCCGTCGCTGATTGGCTCATGTCCCGTCGGCGCGGTGGTGGGAGGGGCGGGACTTCGGGACTTGGCAGTTATTCTTTAGCCTGCACTCTCTCTCTTACTTGGCCTGCCGAATTGGAAGCATCTTCACGCTTAGTGTTTTTTTTTTTTATCGCTTGCAGTCTGCACCGTCAGCAGGAGATTTCGCCACTGTCATCGAGCCCCAGGACTCAGGACATCGACATCGAGACGCTAAGTCTTTTTATCACAATTCATTTAGTTTGTATTTCATCTTCATCTTTCGTTCATTAAATCGACCTCTCATTCTCTCATGACTTGCTTCTTCATTATATCTCATTAAGCACGCGTCGTGCTAGGTCTGTGCCTCTACAGCCTCCATTTTCATTTGCTCATCGTTCATCCATCGATCCCTTGCTCGTCCTCACCGTCATCACAACCTTTTCTCCTCTTGTTCGTGCTACTCTTCTGTTCTCTATCTAACCATTCTCTACCCGAAATCACCTTCACAATCGCTCTCGGCTTATCGTTTTTCACCCATCTGCACGCCTACGCTTATCCCATCTGCATCATCTGCGCCCTGCTCAATACATATCTCGCTAATTATTTCAACTCACGTCAACGAACAGCTTATCCATACGTCACGTCACCCTACAACCTCTATCATCATCCGCTTAGTATCTCTGTCTACATATATCCACCATCATTTTAGGTTAACTTCTATCCACGCATCCGCATTCAATCACACCATTACCTGCATCAATCATACGTCTATTACACCAATCACACGTCTGTTACACCATACTCAGTGCATATCGTCATCCCACTGTCATCACGCCACGTCTCATCCGTTCAATCCCGGTTCTCGTTCCGGATTCAGGGTCCTTACCCGAATACGCCACTCACATAACATCACTACTGAGCTGCCGCAGGTGGTAGTTAATTTCGACTTTCGGGCGTCGGCCCGCTTTCACCAGCCTTGCGCTGACTCGTGCGACCGTGCAGGGCCCGCCAGTTTGCAGAGGAGATCACTCCTCCCTCATTCGCCTTGAACTCACACACACTGGGAGTCGTCACCACCAGGTCCTCCCGCACATCCTCACACATACCCATACTAACACAACATAGGTTGATTATTGGTCCCATTGTTAATGGTATAATTAGTTTAACTGTTTTTCTTCAATTGTATTAATTCTGATTCGTTTTTTAATAAATCTGGATTTTTTATGCCATAGGCTTTTTCCTATTAATTAGTTGTTCTTAATTGTGTTAACCTTCCTCTCCCTTTAATTTTATTTAATTTCTAATCACTATTTGTTTTTTCGTATTATTTTTTTTAATTTAACTTAAACCAACCCTTAATACAGTACCAGCCCCCCCTTCCTATATCTATATCTCATTCCTTTGAATTCAAACCAGGCAATCCATGTGGGATCGGCTGTATTCACACGCAACACACACCAATTTTTGGAGTGCAGTAGCCATCGACAACGATACCTTTCGGTAATCGTTTCTCTTTGCGCCGTCTAGCATGTTCGATGAGTCAATCGAGAATATATTTTTCCATCTTACACAGCCACTTCAGCGCTACTTCAGACTGATCATTTACTAATCTGTAACCTCTTGGTAATAAAATACCGATTTGATTTCTTTTTTTTTTAAATTTTTTCTTGTAGACACGCATACGTGTCAAATCTACTGTCGTACATTCAATGAAAGAATCCTCTTAGAATAATTCTTTGGATAAGCCACGCAAGCTAATCTTGAAATTTTTATATCTTGTTTACAGTGTTTAACGATTTCCCGGTAAAAATCAAATGTATAATCGTTAGCTACTAATTCATTGTACCGTTTCAAAAAATTTTCTCTTTCTTGTGCAGACATACAATTGGGTGAATTATACATCCATTGGTAGTAGAGGACTGACGTATAATTGGCAACAACCAACAGGGCGTATTAAAAAAATGTGGGAAAACACCCTTTTCAATACCAGTCAAACCATACACTTTAGGTAGACCACTCAAAGGCATGTGAGAATAATCAAGACTATTGATAAATTTTATCTTCATAAATTCCATCAAAATAATTGTATACCCATTCATAATGATGAATGGTATTATTTGCACGCTGTGTATTTGAACGAAATACTTAAAAATAAATTGTGCGTCGAATCCTTGAGCATGGTGGGCAATACAGACAACTCGCTAAATATGTTTTTGATGATCTAGTGCGAGATGAACTATTTGTTTCTTTAAAATTTTTCACAAAATATATTCGCGTATTCCACAGTGGTCACATCTCGTTGAAACTAACTCTTGTTCCAAATCGATACAAAAATTACAAGCTTGTTCGACGGTGCATAGGTTTAAAACTTCCGTTTAAAAAAAAAAATCTGTCGGTTTTGAAATTCCAGCCCCCCGAGTACGCGACATAAAGAACTTCGTTCTAAAAAGATGTTTTTATTCCAAGAATTACATAGTTCTTAGGGCTTTTTATACATATAACTTAAGAACATACTCAGCATAAACAATAATTTTTTTTTGTAACAAAATCGTACATTAAATCGATTAAAACTGATTCTATAGTATTAAAAAACTGGTGATTTCAACTTAGTATAGCTTCATGCTTCGATAACTGGAGTACTTACTATGAAACGTTACAGTTCCATGCAGTGTACATTGTATTATGCTTTTATACAATCCCCAAACAAATGCTTTCATCAGTAAAGTATTACTATTCAACATTACCTTCTCAAAATAAGTGTAGCCAAAAAATCAAATGAATCAAGACAATCGTTTTAGTCTGCGTAAAGACTACTAAATGATGTATAAAAAATAAAATATCACATAAGTATAAGAATCAAATATAGAATGATAACTTCCAGAAATAGTAGCAATGCTTACAATCGTTTTATGAACTCAGTTAAATCTAGGAGAAATGTATGTAAAGTTCGACGTTATGGGCAGTATAGCTGGCCTTGTTGGCTCCATTATGATATGGGCGAACAGTGACTGATTTTATTTCATCAGTTGGAGAAAATCTTGAGTCTGTTACATCATGAAGTTTTAGTTTAAATTTTTCTAACTATTATTTCTTAAATGAGCTAAACACATAAGCTTTTCGAATATTGTGTATATGTTTTCAAAGAATTGTTCCTCCCGTGGTGTATCATAGGAACAGTGGTCTTACCGTCTGTTATCTTTTCTGTATTTGTCTGAGATTTACTACCATGAAAACGACTCTTAAGAAAAATTATTATAGTTTTACTATTAAAATGTAGTGGTAGTGCAGTGTGCACATCAACTATATAACCCATTAATCACAATTATTTCTAACCTTTGGATAACAACTTCTCACTATCATATTTCAGTATTTTCTATTCTCCTCCTTAAGGAATCACTGTTTTGTCCATTTTCCTGAATATTTTTGTTCTGTATAGTCTACTAGTCTACTACTTATACACCTCAATAAGTTTTTTACACTCTTCATATTTTTTCTCGTATTTTTTGGTCTGCGCTCTGACCTTGTCCCATGGCAGTTAATAAAAAAATCATGTTGGCAGAGTTCTGCACCAACCTTTACAGTTTTACTCCTCACAACTATGTCATAATGTTCATAAAGATAGTAATAAAATTTTTACAACAACTCAAAAATGCTGAAAGTATTAGTAGTAGCACTTATATACCATAAATTGTGATTTTAATAATCAAAGAATAAATAGGATACATTAAAAAGGAAAAAGTATCAATTTTCAGTTAAGTTAATGTATTAAGTAGTAAAGACGAGTTCCTTGCTTGTAGGCTGCTGTAATTATAGTCAAAAACTATTTTTTAGTTACTAAAGAAAAATTGGTGAAGCTTACCCTCTGCCTGCACATTAACTATTAAATCTATTAATTGAAACTGTTACAACTTTGACTTTGAGGTTACGATGATCTATTAGTTAAAAACTTTTCTGTTTAATTCTTCAACCAAGATTTCTTCTCATCATTATCATCCTTACAAGACGGTTCTTGATC